ATACTGGTAAAGAGCCTCTCCACCATGCTCAGCTAGTACACCAAGTCCGTACACACCGTTACTGCGCACCTCGTCGTTTTCATCCTTCACCGCTTGTAGGAGGATTGGGTAAAGATGTGGAACAAAAGGCACAACTGCAGCCTTCATGCTGGCTATGGATTCTGAGATGGTTCCTACTGCAAAGGACCTTTCAGCATCAGTACTGGTTCTCTTCTGTAACAGGAAAATTTGAGGTGTTTTAGAGAAAGGCAAAAAGCAGGGTACTGAACATCCATTTTTGGCCACTTGTAAAATACATTTTCTAAATGTACCATACCTATCCTTGGTACTGACTAGACATCAGCTTTACATTCCCTTAGTTATGATTGGTCATTGAGTCATCTACCTTATCCTTGGTGCTGATTTGATAAAATCAAACCTACCCTTGGTGCTGATTGGGCATCCCTCATGTTCTCCTATCTGCGATTTGATTGATGCCTTACCTGTCCTTGGTGCTGATTGGAAATCAGCTTTACATTCCCTCACTTCTGATTGGTCATCTACCTTACCTATCCTCGGTTCTGATTTGACAATATCAAACCTACCCTTGGTGCTGATTGGGGAATCCCTCTTGTGTTCCCATATTTGCGATTTGATTGATGCCTTACCTGTCCTTAGTGCTGATTGGACATCAGCTTTACATTCCCTCACTTCTGATTGGTCATCTACCTTACCTATCCTCGGTGCTGATTTTACAATATCAAACCTACCCTTGGTGCTGATTGGGAATCCCTCTTGTGTTCCCATATTTGCGATTTGATTGATGCCTTACCTGTCCTTACTGCTGATTGGACATCAGCTTAACATTCCCTCAGTTCTGATTGGGCATCTACCGTAACTATCCTTGATGCTGATTTGACAATATCAGATCTACCCTCTGTGCTAATTGGGCATCCCACTTGAGTTCCCTTATCCCTGATTTAATTGATGCCTTACCTGTCCTTGGTGCTGATTGGGCATAACCAAGCCAATTGTGAATCTCAGATACATCAATACAAAGATAACTAAGGAATTAAATTTTACAAATCATCGATTGTTTGTCCAGTTATAATCTAAACAAAAGCCATTTTAAGAAATTACAGCTCTGATTTTTGGCTCCTTACAAATCGTGCTGCCATGAGGGGCAGGAATCCTGCGAAGTACGGTGCAAACTGCTGTCCTGGTATTGCCACAGCTAGAGCTGGGATGACTTCTCCTGAGTACTCGATCAACATGGTGTCATACTCTGCCTGCAGATAAATAAAGAAGAAATATAATTAGCTAAGAATATAAATATTGATCAAGCAGAATTTGGTAACATTGAAACATGTTATGAATGACAATTGTACAGAATAACGAAAATTGAATTTTCTGGATATGTAATATGCAAAAGCAAACAGAATCCTTGTTTTATGACCTAACCTGTTGATCATCCTCTGCATCATCATCATCCTGACAGGCTGTCTGTAGGAAACAAAAACAACTGTACTGTACAAACAGACCAGGAAGGACCACTGGGGAGAACATCATGGACACACTCATGACTCATTTAACAATGTGCTCACCACTTCACCTGGTAGAAATGTTTCAGGGCCTGCTTTTAATTAGCCTGAACT